GAGGACTTTCAAAGTGTTCGGCCCCTTAGGGCCTTGACCAGACCTAAGGGTATCCTGGGGACGTGGTCGCGAGGTCAGGTGCCCGTGTCTCGAGAGCATCGAGACGCCAGATGTATGGCCTCGCGTCATAAAAACATCGCGACGGATTTGTGTTTGGCTGTTTTCGGCCATGGGCATCATCGCTAAACCCTGGGACTGTCAAGAAACGATTCGGGAGGAAAAACTGGTCCTCGGGGAAGGAATCCAGGAACACATATATGATGTCGGGGGTCTGGGCTGACATGCAAGAGTCGACCAGCCACACCTGGTGGAGCTGTGCTCCTTCCATCCATGAGGGGACACATTGTGTCGACGATCTCTCAAGAAGGCCGTCCGTCGGCATCCAAGAATAGATGAATGATGAACGGCATGGACATAAATATTCGGAGCTCCGCATGGATGAATGATCCGACAAACATAGACACCCGCCCAAGCGCGCTCAGCGCGCCAGGGAGGGTGTCCAGCGCCGATCCAAAAAATCCGCTCGGACATCACGAAGTTTACGTTTATGCTCTGTTTCCTGATCGAAGGACCCAAGCAGCCACAAATGCGGGACCTGTGCTCTTTATACTTCTCCTGCGGGAGCCCAACGTGTCGACGCTCTCTCAAGAAGGGTGCCGCCATCGCCAGATCCCCACCAAAGGGGGTGAGGACCACAGCTCTCCAAGACGTGGCTGGTCTGAAGAAGCGGGACCTGGCAGGAACCGGTCATGGGCCTCAGGGCGGCCTTCCCGTGGGCCAGCTTTTCATCCCGAGTCGTTCTTTGAACAACCCTGGAGCCCGTGGTTGTCCGGAGCAAGCCAGACTGAGAAAAACCCGCAGGACCCGGTCCCCTCGGGGCCCCTCTCTGTGGTACGTTTGGACCGAAATTCCGATGGGAGTCCAGCCGATGGGACCAGCCCCCAGGACGGCCCAAACACGAGCAATGAAAAAAAATGCTCCGAAAAACCTCGATTCCTGGGCATCCCACACCGAGGTCCTGCCGGTCGCCGTGTGGTTCAGCCGCGCCCACGCGGCGGTGCGGTTCCCCACCTGCAAATCCGACGGGCCATCTTCCGCCACCGCGGCCTTTGATGGGGGAGCCAACGAGGGGGGGACGAACTCTGAGGGCAAATGTCGCCGCCGATGCACCGGCGATGGGCTCTGGGTGGCGGAACCGCTCGATCCTGGACAAGTAGAGACATGCAGGCCCCGATCGGAAGGGAATGGGCGATGGGGTCGACGCGTCCCCCCACTGAACCAGCCCCCCCCCCCTTTCGGCGCCCCGCAAGCCTCGCCCTGCGAAATCAGCGCGAACTGCGACATCCGGACTGCAGTGCACAGCTCCCCCCCGGACTGGAACGCGACGTTCGGAGGAGGACCCTGGATATCCTTCGATATGATGGTTTCAATCCGCGGCCCCAAATGTCCCGACCCCTTTCACGGGGGCAGTTTTTCAGCCCGGATCGGTTTCTGATGGCCCCAAAGCCCAAAAACAAAAACCGAAATCAAAGAAATTAGTTTGGATTGAAAAACACATATCGTCGAATCCAGGTCAACGGTCGAAAGAATGGCGGCCCGTCCTCGCCGCGGCTGCCCCCGCGTCGACAGGCAAATCAAGCCATGGACCCCTGAAAGGGGCCTGAGGGACCGATATTTCAACTGGGGAGGTCCATATATCCGACTCTGTGCTTCTTGGTCACAGCGCGGACACTTCGGTCTAGACATCTACGCTGCGCGCCCTGGCGGTGGGTTACCTATGAAATTGTCGTCAATCATAGCACCAAAGGGGCAACCCAAAAGGTAACATACGCAACCCAAATTTCAACTATATGACGGTCATGGGGTTCCTGGTGCGTTGTAACACACTGCGACCAATCCAACTCAAAAAAACTGAACTTCTGTGTGTGTGTTTCGTCTCAAGCTATGTAAACACATCGCTTAAACTTGGCCACGCGCCACATGCAAAACGCGCGAACTTCTACTTCAACCGCGTGCAGCTAGCCACGGGCGGGTTCGCCCCCCCCCCCCAGGCCAACAGCAAATTCATGCGCGGCGTAACGGGATTACGAAGAGAGGAAAAGGCGAGGAGGACTGGAGGGAAACGACTGGGACGAATGGGCAAAGGAGAGGAACGCGACGAAGGTCTGAACAACACGAGCACAATGAAGACGACAAGGGGGACACAGACAACGCCAACGCAGGCGGCGACGAGGCGGGGACGGGAGCACCATTCACAACAACAGGCGAAGTTTTTTTCCCCCGAGCGGGCGACGCCTTGCGCGTCCAATCCTAAATGGCCCCCCTGCCAGCGCAATTGAACATCGAAATTCCTCCCCCCTTATTGGTCCTCCTCTTCATTACCCCAATAAGTTTCCTCCTCCCCCGTCTCTTCCAATTGTCCTCCGTACCTCCTCGCACTCGTCACCCCGCCGCGCTCCTCCTCGCCTCTCTGCCGCTCCTCCGCCTGATCCTCCACCTGATCCTCCACATCGCCATCATCATCGCCATCATCATCATCATCATCATCATCATCATCATCATCATCATCATCATCATCATCCTCATCATCTCATCTCATCCCTCATCCTCATCCTCATCATCATCATCATCATCATCATCATCATCATCATCATCATCATCATCATCATCATCATCATCATCATCATCAGCACGCGCCGCCCCTTCTGCGACCGATGCGCGCCCCCCCCCCCCGCCACGTCCCTCCGCCGCCCCCACTGGCAACTGACTTGCGATTGTGGTCGCCTGGCACAACTATGTAGCCCTCTTGGATGCGTCTACTTCTTCACATGCTGCACTCGGTTCCTACAGGACTCCCTTGGGCCCACTGCCCCGGACGAACGAATGGTCCACTCGCTCGCCGTTAGTCGGCGACCTCCGCCGCTGGACGTCGATTGCTCCTACCGTCGTGGGGCGATCGGCGGTCGTAGCTTGCCTCGTCTCGCACGTTTCACTAGGAGCCACTGGGCCGCGCTGCGCCAGGCGCCACTCCAGCGCGCAAGTGCAAGAACCCTGTCAGGGCGGGCGCGCGCCTCATCCGCCTTGGCTTCATCGTCGCGGCCGGCCCGTCGCCAGCCGCCCACAAGAGCTGGCGCCCGCCGCTGCGACAAGCAACGCGACGAGCGCCAAGCCGGCGAGCAGCACGTGCAGCACTGGCTGTTCGACTCTGCGCAGCACGGCGGAGTCGAGCACCATTGGCCCCACCTCTACGCGAGGAGAACAATGCAACGGGCGCCGCGCCTTCGGGCAGCGCACCAGAGCACCGGCACTGAGCTGCACGACCGGATCAAGCACCAAAGCGTCGCGCGCCCAGACGGGGTCCAGCACCTGCGGCCGCGCAGCCACGAGCGCGACGCGCAGCGCAACGAGCGCCCAGGCTCCGAGCGGCGAGTCTGGGGCCGCAGTGGCATAGCGCGGCGCGACGTGGAGCGCCGCGACGTCGAACAACGCGGTGGCCCCAGCCCGCGCAGACTCACGCATGCGATTGACTCGAACAACGCATCGAACAACGCGTCCTGCAAAAATGCTGCTGCGACCTGGGCCTCGACGCAGGGGGGGGGGGGGGGGGCGACGCGGCCCAGGGCCGAGGCGCCGAGCAGCGCGACGAGATCCGGCGCCAAAGGCCTTGGCGCGAGGGGGCGCGAGCAGCGCGGTCGGCGCCGCGCCCTCGAGCAGCGCGTCAGGGACACCTTGAGCCTGAGTAGTGCGATCGGAGCCATCAGACGTTGCACATCGAGATGAGACCCATCATTAACGACATCACGCCCACGAGCGGGATGAGTAGGACCATCGCGCCGCCATTCTGCGAAACAACATCGAGCACGATTACGTGGAGTTGCACGAAGGGATGCACTTCAAACAATCCCACACCCACGAATGGGACGAGGGGCGCGTCGCAATCCGCGCCTTCCGGCAGCGCGTCTGCGACGGGCAACTCGACGCGGAACAGCGCGAAGGCGCCGAGTGCTGCGACGCCGGGCAGCACGGCGGCGCCCAGCACCGCCGCGCCTAGCAACGCGTCTGCCCCAAGCAAGCACGCCTGCCACCGACGCCTCAACACCGAGCAGCGCAAGAGCTCGGCGCAACGCAGCCTCGAAGAGAACGGCGGGGGCCAGCACCGACTCCCTCGCGCCCACGAGCCCGCGACGAGGTCCATGGTCAGCCCGCCAGGACTCGCGCGCACGGGCGCCAGCAGCCACGCGGTCGCATCTGCGATGACTTGCACCGCGAGCAGCGCGTCCACAAGCAGCTCCTACACGACCAGCACTGGGACATAGCACAACACGAAAGGAAAGTTCCCGGGCAACGGACAGCGCAGCGGGACTCAGCAACGTGAGCCTCGTGCCGCCCGTGCCGAACGGGGCGGGCAGCGCGCGGAATGCCGCGCCCGCCTCACTCGGAAACGACAAACGCGACGGAGTTCGGTGCCGCGACGCTGCGCGGCGCGACGGAGCCCTGCACCGCCGGCCTCGCTTCTGCAAGCGAGACGACCAGCGAAGCGACCGCCGCGTCTGCAGCCGCGCGCCAGGAACCGGGGCCCCGACGCGGAGCTGCGCGGCGACGCCAGACATCTTGACTTTGCGCGCCAAGGCGGGGCGCAGCATCGGCGGCCTCGCGACGACGACTGAGACGAGCAATGCAAGAGGCATCGCGCCCTCGAGCACTACGCCTGGCACTGCTTCATCACCGCGCAACGTGACGCAACTGAGCGCCGCGTTGTCGAACAATTCGACAAGGCCAATCACCCGCCCCCCCCCCCTCCCCCACGCCGCCGCCCCCGCGTCTACGAGGGGGGCGAGCAGCGAAACGATCGCCATGTCTTGGAGCAGAGCGCGCGGGGCCAGCTCCGGGCCACAGGGCAGCGCGGCGGGGGAGAACGCCATCCCGACGCGCGCAACCACAGGGCGCATCAACAATCTCACACCAACGGGCGAGACGAGCACTGCTTCGACCACGACGGCTTACAGGAGCACGTTGGCGACCAGCACCTCGACGCCGAGCAGCGCGATGGAGCTGAGCGCCGCTAGCATGCGCATCGCCGCGCGGTCCAGCGCCGACAGCCTCGCCATGCGACCCGGCGCCGAGCAGCGCCGACAGCCGACATCCAGTCAAGCTAGCACCGCGCCCCCCAGTTGCAATGCAGGGCCCTTGGGCGCCGAGTACAAAGGTGGCGCCCAGCATCAGGGCGCCACGCGCCAAGACGGGGCCCAGCGCTAGTCGCGCCGGATCCGCGAGTGCGACGAGATGCGCAACGCGCAGTGCCCGTTCGAGCAATTGCGTCCGGGACCGCAGCGAAGCCACGCAGCGCGACCGGGTCGACCAGCACCCTGCAATCCAGCATCAACAGCCCCACCCCCCCTGCGAGCGACGTCTGAAGCGCGCTGAACATCATGCCAGTCAGCAACAGACCTGCGACCAATATTTCGACGCTGCGCAACGCGACGGAGTCGGGCACTGCGAGGTCGGGCAGCGCGACGGGGCCCCGCATCGCCAGGTCCCCCAGATGCACCCCGGCAGCCAGCGCCCTGACGCTGGGCGGCGCCAGGGGGTGGAACGCCGCATCGTCGAACAATTCGACGGGCGTCAACGTCGACGTCTTTGTCTTGTCGAACTCGACGAGCAGTTCAACGAGGTCCATGGCCGGCCCGTCAAGGCCTGCGCGCATCGGCGCCAGCAGTCTCGCACCCACGCCTGCGACGAGCAATGCAACGTACGCGGCCGCCTCCGGCGGCGTCTGCGCGACCGACAGTCGCGCTTCCACGAGTGAGATGCGCGCGGGGCGGATCAGCGCGTTGAGCAGAGGAGGAGGGCGGCATGTTGCGCGCCGCCATGGCGAGGGCGCGACGGGGCGGCGCGGGAAGCCCCCGGGCGCGGGGGGCCACCGGGGGCCCGCCCCAGGCGTCAGAGGCCGGACGTGCCTCAGGCCGCGCGGGAGTTTCACCGCGCGGAACGTTGCCCGCCCCCCACTGCCCGCCGCCCCCGCCCCCCACGCCGTCCTGCAAGCGCGAGGGCAGCGCGCCTTTGGAGGCGGGGGGCCGCCCGATCCCCGCGCCCTGGGCCCCCGCGACCCGAGCGAGGGCGCGCGCGGGGTCGGCGGCGCGCCGCGAACTTGGCCCTTTGGAGGGGCAGCGCCGTCGCCGCGGCAAGACCGCGCGTCATTGGGGCCCCCGGCCCTCGGCCCAACGCGCCGCGACGGGCTGGCCCAGCGAGGCTAGCGCCAGCGCCGCCTGCAAGCCCGCCGTCAGGCGAGGGCGAGGCAGACCCCCCTGAAAGATCGGCTCGCGCCGCGGCAGCTCAAAAGACCGCCGCCAAGCGGGGTCGGCACGGCCAGCACAGCCAGACCAACTGTCGGCGATGAGACCAGAGTGAAGGCCTCGCAGCCCCACGGCCCCAGCATCGCCGACGAGGGTGAAGGCGCCCGACTGACCCCAGTTCAGGCCACCGAGCGAAGGCGCGCCACGCGACGCCTCGCTGCCGCCAGCGAACCTGCCGACCCGACCGCGGGACTGCCCGCGCGACCATGCGTCGGCGCGGGACCGCGAGCTGCGTAACGCACCAGAACAGTCAAGACCGTCAAGACCGTCTTGACAGATCCTAAAACGCACGCGCAGCCTCGATCGGCCGTCAGCAGACCCGATCGCCCGCTCGCCTCGGCCCCCAAGGCGAGCCACCTGGCGTGCTTCGACGATTGCCGATCGCACGCCAGCGCATCCCCCGCCAACTTCTGGGCGCGCCGCGAGAACGGCTGGCAACTATGCGTAGCGGGGGGCGCCCCAGAAAGGCGCCCGCCCCGTCGCGGGAGCTGGGCCACGCGCGCCAAATCGCGCGCCAAGCGGGCGCGCATTCTGCTCGGGTGAGCAGACGGAACTGCGCGCCCAGATCGCCGCAAGCCCTGTTTATCTCCAGTCGGGATCTCCGCGGACCGCGACAGGCGCGCACGTTACCCTGCACCGGCTGGCGCACGCGGCACCTCCCGCCGCGCTGCTTTGGCGCGGAGGGCACGGGCAGCCGTCGCGCTCGACGGACATCGGCACCCCGAAGCATCGTCATCTGTGCCCCCCCCCCCCCTCTCACTCGGACCCCCCCAATTTCTATATGTTTCTTCATTGTTTCATTTTTTTTGTCTCTCTCTCTCTCTCTCTCTCTCCTCTTGTTGTGTTCCTCTTCTTGTTTGTTTCCTCTCTCTCTCTCTCTCTCCCTCTCCCCCTCCGGTTATGTGTATATATATATATATATCATTATGTCTCTCCCTCTCTCTCACACTATATATGCGTATGTGTTCTTATGTGTGTTTCCCTCTCTCTTTCTCTCCCTTTGTGGAGTATGGTATCTCTGTCTCTCACTCTCAAAATATATTTGCTTCTCCCTGTATGTATGTGTTGCTCCTGTCTGTCTCTCATTCTCTCTTTCTAGCCATGTCTCTCTCCCGTTCCCTCTCTTGATGTTCATGTGTATACATGGTTTGAGCAATATATATATATAATATTTGCATATGTTAAATAAATGCATGTCCAGCGCAAGAGAAGCGACGCATCCGCTGCCCTTCTGGAGGGCTATCCCAAAAACGCGACGAAGACCAAACCACACTCGCGCACAACACTCATCAGAAAAAGACTCGCACCGCAATGAAGAGAACCCGGTGGCAATCTGAGAGGTCGCAGCTGGCACCCTGCCGCGCGCCCAAGACAAAGTCACCAAGACTAGAGGAGGAGGGGCGGAGAGACAGAAGAAGAGGAAGAGGAGGAAACAAAGGCAGAAACAAATGCAATCCAAAACCTTGCGCGCGCGTAGACCGGCATGGGAGGGCGGCGCGCGCAGAATAATATACATATACATATTTATACACATATATACATATATATATACATATATATATATATATATGCGCAGATGCACGTGCATTGAAACACATGCACATAATCATGCAACTTCCCCGGGGGAGCCGCGGCTTGGTGAATGAACGATCGCGGCAATTTTCGAGCGGACCTCGGCCGCGGAAAACCAGCAATTAACCGTCCGCGCTAGACGTTTCAATCCTGTTCCGGGAAACATGAAAGCTGGCAGCTTCTCGGGGCGGGCTGCGTTGGGCGACGAATCTGCGGCTGAGCAGGAAACGCATTGTTAGAGAGTGTTCCTGCGATGCATAGTTTCGAACACGCACTTACGTGTAGGATGCTGCCATGCCACCCATGAAGCGCACCGCGCGCACCCAACCCCAATGGCACGTTGGCATCGGAGGCAAGTACAGTCGCAACGAAGGGCCATTCCGGCAGCTTGCTCCAGCTTGGCGAATTCACCTTGTAGCCAACTCCCGAAATTTCGCTTGCAAGTCGTCACGCGTCTCCAAACTTGACCAGTCTGTCAACTTTAAAGAAAATCCGTCGGCGTACTGAACTGATTACGCATGGCCGCGCACATCCGATGCCCACCGCAGGCGGGCGCCGTAGCATTTAAATCTGAATCCAGCCGCCCTCGCCCCCGCCTGCCTTTCCCAAGCTCAGGAACGTGGGCAGTGCCATGTTCTGGGCAAGGCGGCGCGGCGGCAGCCAATCAAAGTTTTTGCCACTGGGGCAACAGCTGGACGCTGCCGCCCCAACTACTCGTGTCGCCTCTTTGCGCGCTTTTTCTTCCTGCGTCGCGCGCAAGGTTTTGACTGTCACAACACACAGCCCCCCCATCCGCCCGACCATCGCTCAACCGAAACTCCGTTCAGAAACGCAACACGGCTTTTGAACAACATGTGGGCGATTGGTCACGAAACGCCGCTTCACTTAATGTCGCCCCGCGATCATTCGGCACATGGCTATATCCCAACTGGAAACGTCCACGTTCGGACGAACGGCGCCGCTCAAGGAGGTCCGTGCGTTTTCAATAAACACCCACATGCCTACATCCACGACCAGGCCTCAATTGTTTGCCTTTGTTCTTCTGAATTCCTCAAAAGGCAATCTGCGATCGTTTGGGCCTGCCGCCCACTGGGCCGATGTAAAGTGCCGAGGTCGAGCCCACAGCGGAACACTTGCGCACAAGGGGGCGAACAAACCGCTGGGAGACCCACGCGCTGCCACATTCCAAAAGAAAAACTACAGGCGTCACTACGGAGCCGTTTGACGCGACAGGTTTTTCAAGATATCTAACCATTGCGCGCCTGACGTCAAGCAGCTCCCCAGGGAAACCATCCGAACGCAACTCTGATGTTTGAAGGACGTGCGCAAGGCAGCGCTTATGGGGAAGAGGCTCAGTGAAACCAAGTACGGTGAGCTAAATGAGCGACGGATGGAGCCTTCGGGGGAAGGGGGGTGGGCAGAACGAAATACAGCGATCAAGGGCAAGAACCCTTGAACGCAAACACCGTTGAGGGAACTGGAAACGCAATGAAATAGCATACGGCGGAATCACCACCCAAAGCCAGTGTGAACGCTGGCCGACCCTTGTGCCCCCCATCGTACATTTATGAAACAACTACGAACCGTTACCAAGCAGGTACGTCAGAATCGGTTCCGGGCTTGAAGCGGTCAAACAACGTATGAACAAAAACAGCGATAGCACGCATATAACACTTCAGCGTGTTACACGTAAGTGTAATACAAACTATGGCGTCGTTACTGCTACCATAATGCAAATGCGCGGCAACTTTCATATACATATATACATACTAGAACCATCGCGCGCGCTTCGCGCGCGTTCAAGTTCTAGCTAGGGTGATGGTCATCGTCATTATTGTCATCCTCATCCCTGTCATCTTCATCGTCATCGTCATGGTCACCGTCACCGTCACAACAATCTTCATTATCACCATTATCATCAGCATCGTGATCACCATCGCCATCAACGCCATCGTACTTTTCAGCATAATCATCCGCATCATCAACATCTACTTGATCGTCGTCGACATAGTCCTCGTCATCATCATAAGCGTCATCGCAGTCATCCTCCTCCTCCTCCTCCTTCTCCTCATCCTCCTCCTCCTCCTCTCCCACCTCCTCCGCCTCCTCCTCCTCCTCCTTGTCCTCCTCCTCCTCTCTTCTCTGAACGCACTCAGCACACGGGTGCCTACTGGAACGCGTGCGGGGAGCCTTTCTGGAAGCATTGTGGCAGTCTCTGGAGCCTCTCCGGGCCTTCCTTTGGAGTCCTTTGGGGCCGTTGTTGGCCCGTCTGAGGGCCCATTTCGGCCGTTCCGGGCCCCTCTTGGCTCGTCGTGAGGAGCTCAGCCCGTCTTGGGGCCCTCCTGGGGCCCTCTCCGACCATGTAGGAATCTTCTGGTGGCCCCCTCGGGCTTCCTGGGGGCTCTCTTGGGTTGTTTTGTAGCTCTTCTGTGCTGCTTGAAGCTCTCTTCAGCCCATCTTGGAACCCTCTTTGGGGCCTCTGGGGTCGTCTGGGGTCCATTTTGGTAACCTCTTGGGCCGTCGCGACCGCTGGTAGAACTGAAAAGCGAAGCTCCCAGAAATATACGGTAGTCCATTAGAATTGCTTGATTTTGCCTTTGGAGGGCTTTCTCAGCGGCCTCTTCGACAATCGTGGGGGGTCCTGTTTGGCTTTTTGTGGCCTGTCTGGGAACCCACTTCGGCTGTCCAAAGCTCCTCTTGGCATGTCATGAGTAGCTGAGCCGTCTTGGGGCCCTCATGGAGCCCTCGCCGACCATGTAGGGATCCTCCGGTGGCCCCCTCGGGCCCCCTGGGGACTCTCTCGGGCTGTTTTGGAGCTCTCTTGTGCTGCTCGACG